GTCTGCGGGCACGGCGTCCCGCGTCTTTCGTGCGTCTGGGCTCCTGGCGATGAGGAGAGAGACCAAACAGGGGTACAGCGACCTGAGAGAAGGTGTGCATCTGATTAGGCAAGAAACGTGAGGAAGAGATAGGAAGAGATGGTAGGCTGTGTCAGGAGGTATGTCTAGGTACTCGCTGTCCTGCGGTGCTGCATCCCAGGGAGGGAGAAACCATTGCACCTCGCCCGTCTCGGGTAATGCGTTCCCTGCACCTGCACGTTTGGAAATACTTTGCAACAGGTATTGATTAAAATCAGCACTGCCCCGGTTCAGTTTCAGGTTCATTGCATCTATTTTTATTCTACAGCCTACTGTTAATAGTGCAAAATACTTGGGCATTAACAGTTAGCTTGGGCATTAACACTAAGCAAGGATAAAACCCAAACTTCATACCAAAAGCGAACTATTTTTGCTGATTAAGCAATGCTTTTGTAGGCTGAAGTTAGAAGGAAGTTCAAACGTCTTAATCACAGTGCCATAAACGAATCTAAATAGTCTTACAGATCACGTGAGTATGAAGTATGCAATGAAATTTTTTTAATTACCATTACAGATTTTAGTACAACAGGATGAGAGTGTCGCCTCCAGTAAGTTCTCCCGAATAAATCAGCGTTATGAAATTGTTCTGTGTATCTCTGAGTATGTCTGTCACTTAGAAAACTTTTGAACTTTTTGGCTAATTTCAGCCAGATTTGAAAGACGGAAATGTCTGTCTGAAAACTAACAGATGGGGAGAGGAGGAAAATCTGAAATCTGCGCTCTGCTGCAAGAAAAGCAGGCATAAATTAGTCCTTATTCGTTCTTTCTAGCAGTAGGTGGCTGGGCAATTGGTATAGGGCAACGAAGCTGGTGAAGGGTCTAGAACACATGTGCTATGGGGAGTGGCTGAGGGAGCTGGGGTGGTTTAGCCTGGAGAAGAGGAGGCTGAGGGGAGACCCTATGGCTCTCTACAACTACCTGAAAGGAGGTTGTAGCGAGGTGGGGGTTGGTCTCTTCTCCCTAGTAACAAGCAATAGGACAAGAGGGAATGACCTCAAGTTGTGCCAGGGCAGGTTTAGGTTGGATGTTAGGAAAAGCTTCTTCACCAAGAGGGTAGTCAGGCATTGGAACAGGCTGCCCAGGGAAGTGGTTGAGTCCCCATCCCTGGAGGTATTTAAAGGACGGGTAGGTGTGGTGCTCGAGGACACGGTTTAGTGGTGGACTTGGCAGTGCTAGGTTAATGGTTGGACTCGATGATCTTAAGGGTCTTTTCCAACCTTAACAATTCTATGATTATATATGCAGAATTCTTCATTAGCCATTACATGGATGAGAAACAGGAGGAAAATTGTCTGATATGGAAAGTGAAAAAGAACTGCGGATATTGTCGTGGATGGAGAAAGGAGTTTAGAGCACAAAAGTTACAAAGCTTGGTTTCGTACAGGTTTGCAACTTCAGCTTCTAAGCAGCACAGCTTACTATTTTTTTTTTTAAATGTCTCTTCTGTAGGAGGCTTGTGGGCTTTATTTGTTTGGGCTTTTTTAGAAAAGCAGTCCCCAACAGCCCTTTTGTACTGACTTCTCTATAAACCATACTTTGAAGATCTTAAGGTACATCTTCGCTTATGCACTGTGTTCCTTCCAGACCTGCTTATTTAAAACAGCGTTTTCCCAAATTCAAAAATTGCATATGTGAAGTACTTCTCTGTAACAGTAGTCTCAATCTTCAAACAGTTCTGTTTTATAGGGTAAAAATGAACGTAGGAGTTGCCCACAGCGAGGTAAATCCAAACACGCGGGTGATGAACAGTCGTGGAATGTGGCTGACCTACGCACTCGGAGTCAGCATGCTGCACATTGTCTTGCTCAGCATTCCTTTCTTTAGCGTCCCTGTTGCCTGGACTTTAACAAATGTGATTCACAACCTGGTAAGTACCTTCTCTTGTAACAAAATTTGAAAAATTGTTCATACATATTTATTTTTAGTAGCAGGAGAAGAGAGAAATAGCTAGGCTGTATGGATAATGAAATCCAGCTAGCCAAAACACCACCTCTGCTTGGCTTATCCACTATTAAATGAGTTGGCTGTTTTTGGGTGGAGGAGTGATACACAATCACTTTGGGTTTAAGCACAAAAGACATGAAATATTTCTTACATATTTTATGTATTCTTTTAAAAGGCATTTAATTAAGCTAGAATCTTGCAAACATAAAATCATCATGCCAACTGACTTTTACAGTGTTTTGTATATTATTAGTGAGCTGTGCTGAATCCATAAAATATATTACATTTTTAATGCTTGAATATTATCTACTAATGTTTCTACATAAATCTGTTAGTATCTCAAAATGTTTAATTTCAGCACTTTACCTGTTTCCTTGGACAGAAACATTTGTGTTCTTTTTCTTCTGCCTTTGATTTGTGGTCAAGCTAGATAAATTTTAGCTCAGAATAACTTTAGCATACAACTTTGTCGCTATACCTGACATAAGAAAAATCTTATTTGAAAGCAGTGGGGAAAAAACTGGACTGCCTTGACCCAGGCCCTGAAACCATTTGTTATTCAGTGGATTGTGATTTGCATGATGGCCTTTGTATGCAAAAGGATTTGAAAGCTGAAGACGTTAAGAATCTTTCTGCCTCCTCTCCCCAGGACGATATAATTTTGTTGTCATCATTTAAAGTAATGCAAGTATGTATATTGGTCCTGCCAAGCTTAGAGAAAAGAGGGCCATAATCCAGCAATTTACATCATACTTGAGATTTTCTAACTCAGCTTTCTAAGATTAACAGCAAAGAAGTCTTGACAAAAAGACAGCTTCTTCCTTATTTAGGAAAATGATAGTTCACTTTAAAGACTGAGGTTGGATAATGTCCTCTAGAATACTGTAAAAATTTTTTTTTTTATTCAAGCTTTTTTTTTTTTTGTAGCTAGGTTTAAAACTAATAGTGGGATTGTAAGCATCAGAGCATTTTGTACGTTATCTTTGACAGCATCAGACATGCCCGATTTTGGAAGATGTTGGCAGAGACGCATATTACTAAATATTTCCCAAGGGCCTTACTGAATTCATTGCAAGTAGCTATAATGACAACAGACATGAGAGCATGCACTGGCAAGTAGTTTTCTAGTGGAACACTAGAAGATGAGTATAAACTGCACTTTTGGATATTTCAGCATTTGAATAGCACTTTTTTGGAAACAAATCCTTGAGTTGTTGACAAACAATAAAATCTTGGATTTCCGTTAATGTAAAACTCTTAGCTGACCTTGAAAGCATTTTTGATGGTCCTTTCCACAAGTACCAGTGTGAAAGGAAATGTGTAGTAAGCATTTGGATCTGTCCTAAAAGTGTCTTTTTGGTTAAGTTATTAAAGCTGAGATGCTGCAAACATCATGAATTGAAGCATTAATTAAGCAAATTAATTCTCTTAGGTTAATAGGCCTCTGGTCAGGGGGCAGTTTAGTGGAAGATGATGTGAAGTGACTTGCTCAAGTTTCACCTCCTTCATAAGAATTCAGAAGAAATGTGATTTTTCTATATAAAGCTTTCTATAACAATTTCTGTGTGTGCATAAGAAATGAACACACCTGAAAGAAAGAAAATGGAAGTCTTTGATATTTTCTGATAGACACTTTTGCTTGGAGTCGGTGTGCTCTCTTTCATAGAAGACAAATGTTTGCTAAAACTGGAAGAGGGTGAACTCCCCGGTCTGATTGATCTTTGGGCCCAAATTGATCTTTCAGAACAGACCAGACATGGCATGCTCCCATCAAATAGAAACAACAGCAAAGAACAGTCCAGTGTGGTTAAGGAGAAGCAGCGAAGAGATGGACAGATGGTATTCAACAGATTGCTGGTAGTCAGCTTCTAAGTATTTGAAGCTACTGGGGGGCTGAGAAAGCTTTCAAAAGTTCTTGTAATATTGCCAGTATTCAAAGATAGATTTTTTGCTTTGTGCAAACTCTACCTCATAACTTATTTAACACTGTCTTAGGAAAGCAGTAATATGAATTGGCAGCCCTAAGCTTGTTACAGTGCTTGTTAAAATTCTGTTGATTTTATGGAGTTTTTGCCATCTAATGTAGAAAGACAGGGCAGTGATTCGGATGTCACATAGATGGTGGCTTTAATTCTGACTGTGCCACTGACTGCACAACCTCGGGCAAATCACTCTTGTTTCTTCCTTCCTCTTCTATAATTTGTCATTACAGGCTAGCAGCATTTCTGGGTGAGAATTCATTTACTCTTTTTTTTACAATGCATTGAACAAGGTAACGGTTATTAAAAAAAAACAGCTAAAAGTGCCACTGTATTCGCTTTTTGTTTTCCCTAGGGAATGTATGTGTTTTTGCATGCAGTAAAGGGAACTCCTTTTGAAACACCTGATCAGGGGAAAGCTAGGCTACTAACACACTGGGAGCAACTGGATTATGGAGTACAATTTACATCTTCAAGAAAATTCTTCACAATCTCTCCTATAATTCTGTGAGTTCAAAACTGTATTATGGATTAATTGAATCATAAACCCATGATTTCAAAAGCTGCAACCAGATGAGTTGCAGTTTACATCCTAAAAGCATTTTCTCTCTTTTTTTTTTTTTTTTTCCTAGAGCTAGGGAAAGGAGAAAGATTAAATTCTAGTTCAAGTTTTTAACAAAGTTTTGGACTAGCGTTTATTTTAGTATTCACTTCCTACTGAAAATCATTGGAGGGTTTTGTATAAATCAGTTTGCCCCTACACGGAAACGTGCAAAAAGGGACCTCAAAACTTTTTTTTTTTTTTTTTTTTTTTTTTTTTGCTTGCTTGTTTGTTTGTTTCTACATCACAGAGGTAGGGAGTACATATTTATAGGCCATATAATCAACGATCTTTCTTACTGCAGCTTTCAACACTAATTCACATACTGAAGTCAAAGTTTGTAAACAGTTATTAACAGGGCGGGCTTTAAAGATTAGAAAGGTTATGAGGAAAATGTACTGTTAACTCTTGAAGTTCTTTAAGAGATTGTGTAGTCATAAATACTGAAAATCTAAACTAATTGCCTTTAGTGTGTGCACATGACAGCATTTATTAACGATTTTGCAGCTTGTGAGTTACGAGGAGTGTGGCAGTCCTCACTGAATGGGGTCCAGGATTTTGCATGTTGGTTTTGCTTTGTACAGATGGTCTTCTGTTTACACTAGTTACGTAAATAGATGAGAAATTGTATGCCACCTGTCTCTGTTGACAAAAGTATGATTGTGTAACTAAAGGAAATCAGATACATATTTAATATCCAACTCTAAAAAGTCACTCTTTTTTTCCCTTAAGGAAGTTGTCCACTTGCATGGCAGGGTGTGGGGAGCGGGGGGGAAGGGAAGATCCTGCATCATGTTTGGAAAGTTGGTTCACAAAGGGTAGAAACTGAAAAACTATATGTAACTCCTCAAAAAAATCCTCTCTTTCTTCAAAGATAGCTTCCCACTTTCCACTGGGAATTTTGTATTCATAACACTTGCATATGGTTCTCTTCATGCACTAATAATGCGTAAGTAGCTGAATAAACATCTCCATTTTACTGGGGATAAAACAAAACCCCAACAATCTGATAGCCTCATTTCTGTGGCTAGTTTTTGCAAAGAAAGAGAAGAAATTATTGTGTCAAAGCATAAAGAAGTTGGTAGTGAATTGGATTTTCTGAGGCACAGTTCCTTATTCTTCCAGTTGAACAGGTTGTGGACTAGCTTAAAAGAAAAATGTGCTGGGAATGTCTGCCAGATGGGAAGCATTTTAAAATCATGCCAATCATGGATGTGCTCAGCATAGATGATTTTTGCCCTGAAAAATGTCAGATGCTTTGTCACTGAGCTTACTAGGGTAGCAGAACTGCGAGTATTTTGGTAACCATTTAAAACCTGTGTCACAAATCAGGCTTGTAGCTGCAGAAGTCAGAGGCTCCAACTTGAGTGCCAGGGAGCAATGCTGGAGGAAAATACTAGCCGAGAGTTGCTTTTTAGCATCTTGAGAAGTATGGGAAGAAGAGACTTAGTCCATAATTTTGCTGTAGATGTTCTAGAACCTCAGGTGAGATTTAATACAGGAATAGATCGGTTGTTAATCAGTAAAATATGACTGGTTACTAAAACACTTTTTTCAACTATGTTTTGTTTGTTTATTTTTTAGACAAGGGTTTTAGCAGCTAAGCTTGCTCCCTTTTCTCCCGCAGGTACTTCCTGGCAAGTTTCTACACAAAGTATGATCCAACACACTTTATCCTCAACACAACCTCTCTCCTGACGGTGCTTATCCCCAAGCTGCCACAGCTGCATGGCGTTCGAATCTTTGGCATCAATAAATACTAAGCAGAAGGTTTGACACTGACTGCCCCTGACATGGCTACTGGTGCTCCCCAGGTGAAGGAAACGAGTAGTCTGCTGTGCCGTGTATCTAATCATATTCAATGATGAGAGATGCTTTTACATCTGAGATACGATTCCTACTTCCTGCAGCATTGTCTGGGATGAAAGTTGAGTTTATAAGAAGATACCTTCAAATACTTAAATGTGAATTGGAAACCTCTAGAAGAAAGATTTCCATGAAGAACTGGGCAGGCCCAGCTCTCAAGTGTAATCACCACTAAGACTGTATGTATCCCTGGCTGATGCAAGGGACTTGTAAGGAAGGTGCGAGTAGCAGTTGAAATGGAGAGTGACATTTCACAAATACCCAGCCAACCATAATGCAAATGGTAACTTTACGTATAAATCCAGGATCCTCAATGCCAAGGACTGGTGAGGCCGCATTTCTTAGATTAACTGGAAGTAGCTAGTTCCTGCTGTATGGGTTGTCGGTGGTTGTACTTGTTACTGCATTGTAAAAGTTTGTCTCACAGTAAATACTGTGACAGCTAGCATAAACTGATGGTGTAATTCATGCCTTATCTGTTCTTGTGATTTTTCTGTCACAAAGACTGAAGAAAGTCCTTAACTGTCACCTCAGGGGATTTCTACGTCAACTTGATAGCTCAGTTTATGTATGCTTTTACAAGTTGCTACTGTTGTGTTTATTTCATTTTGCTTACCAGGATACTGACTTTTCTGTGTGTAAATGGGACATCCTGAAAAATTGAAATTTCTTTTACGGTGTGGATTTTTGACAGTTTTCTCTGATACCTGACTGACGGGGTTGTTTTTCGGTAGTTGAGAGGCCTGTGGTGGTGGGGGAAGAGGTTGCTGCTGTTGCAGGAGAAGCAGCTCCATTGCAGAGCAACAATGTCAGAGCACATAGGAGAGACTCTGTAGGTCATAAGTTAGAATAGAAGCCAAACCAGAAGTAGGTGAATAGGCAAATCACATGGACTAACTGTATGCTTTTGCAGAAAAAGGTATAGATAATTTGCATGTCTTGGAAACGTGGAGGAATGCTGTGTTTTAAGGGTACCGTGTAGTACGGAGTAATCTTGTATATAAACGGCTCTGGAAGTAGAGTGAAGGAGGTACATCTAGAGCTCTGAGCACTTATTTCTCTATTTTGGAAAAAGGATGAATTTTGAAGTCCACTGTATGTCTTCCAGTCAAAACTGGCGCAGATGTAATAGAAGACTCATTTAAGACTTGATTTACATTTTAGTTGCAGTGACAGCCAGTGAGCTGGAAAAAAAATGAGAAAAATAAAAAAAGACAAGCCCACAGTGACAAACTTCTTTTCTTGCTAAGAGAATTTTCTGGCAATTTATTGATAAAGATGCTGTTTAAGAAGAAAAAAAAAAAAAGGTAATGAGTTACGATTTTTTTTTTCCCCAGCAATCGGACGTAATTGTGTTATTCGTACAGAAAGTGATAACTGGCTAATTTTTAAATAGTGACCGTCACAAGGCTATGAAAATCGCTGTTTTGCGTACAAGTGTCAAGGATCTTCAGATGCGGACCGGGCGCAGGGCGGTGGTGACGCCGGTGACGGGGCAGGGCTGCCTCTGGGCAGCGGTACAAAGCCCTTGACTTGCGGGAGTAAAAGCGCTGGCCCTGGCACGGCTGCCTTTTCCTTTCGCCCTGCCGGGGAGGCAGGGCCGCGGCGCCCACGACGACCGGCC